TTCTTGACCTCAGTGCCCTTTGTGGCGTCTCTACTTGATCTGTACTTTCTAGTTGTGAGTGGATTTCAGACTTTTTCTCTCCCTTCCTCCTTCCCTCCCTCCCTTCTTCCCTCCCTCCTTACTTCTTTCGTTCTGACAGGGTACCATATAGCTCAGATTGGCCTTAAAAACTCTGAAAATGACTTTGAACTAGAAAGTACAGATCAAGTAGAGACGCCACTGAGGGCACTGAGGTCAAGAAGAAACTGTTGAGTGGACACAGCAACAGTCTTGAGGAACCCTGTGTGCTGTGCAAGTACAAATTCCTCTCTTCCACCAGGTGGAATCTTGATCCCAAATTCTTTATCTATCATTTCTTTTCTTCCATTTGTTGCTTATCTGCTAATTTCTCAGCAGTTTATTAGCTCTGTGATGTAAAAGGAGTCTCAGTGTGTTTATTTTCCAGTTAATCTTGTCTTTCATACCTTACTGAATTCTTTTCCTCATTTATTTTCTGTTTCTATTATCCTTTGAGTCCTACTATCCCTTACTATCCCCCTGTCCCGGCTAGTTAAGTTTTTTTTTCCAACTTGACACAACCTAAGCTATTTGGGAAGAAAATAGTTGAGGAAATGCTTCCATCAGATTGGCCTATAAGCAAATCTGTAAAACAGGGTCCAGCTCTCTGCAAGCATTGCTTCCCATATTTAGGAGGTTCTTGGTGATCTAAGAAGGAAGGCTGGGCAAATCACAGGGACCAAAGTTCTTGTTCAGTTTCTGCCTTTAGTTCCCACCTTGAGTTCCTTCCTATCCTGACTTCCCGCAGTGATCTACTGAACTGTAAGCCAATAAAACCTTCCTTCTCAAATTGCTTTTGGTTACAGTGTTTATCAGAAAAATAGAAACCAAAATAGGACACCTCCTCCCTTAAGATCTTTCTTCCTCCTCTGCACGAATGGCTCATTTCTAGTTTCTAGATTCTATAAATACTCCAATTTAAACACATATGTATAAAGATCTGATGCTAGGATCCATACTTGAGTGGAACAAACACATATGTTTGTATTTCTGAATCTCGGTTACTTCACTCAGTATATTTTCTAAGCATCCATGTTCCTGCAAACTCCTTCATTTCATTTTCCTTTACAGCTGAGTAAAATTCCACTGTGTATAGGTACTGAATGTTCATTATCTATTGTAATTGATCTTAAAAGAAACCTTGTTCTCATTGTGCTGTAATGTTAGTTTTGTTTGTTTGTTTTTAGACTGACCTACAGCATATACTCACGATTCCTCCTGGATTCTTAGATTCTCTGCCCAGGGTATATTTTCTTTTATTCTGAAATATATCCTTTATTAATCAACTCCCTCAAGTTACTTTTCAGAGGAAGACTTTATTGTACCCATCTCTCTGAAAGATTGTTTTATTAAATGTAGTTGTTTTGCTCTTACCACACTGACTATATTAATCTAATTTCCTATGGCTTCTATTACTGCAATTGAGAAATTACCCTGTTTGATCTTTATTAGAAATCTTCTCTCTCTCCCTGGTTGACAAAGGGAATATTAAGTAGCTTTGTACAACCTCACCATATGTCTTTGATGATTCTCAACCACTCAGTTTTAAGTACTGCCTCAATCCTCCATCTCTTCTCCTCTTTTTGCCTCCCTTCTAGGATTAGAATATACAGTTGTCAGAGTTTCTATTCTGTCCTCTATGTCTCTGAAGCTCCTGAGATTCTGTCCACTTCCTTAACATTACATTTATGTGAGTGACCCATGAATAGATAGATCATGATACTCTTTCAACCATGTTTTCCTGTTAACACCTTACGATTATTCCCCTTGCTGTTTACACACAATCTTCCAAGCTATCAAGCCACACTTCTTGTTCCTCTCCAATGTTTCCATGCAGTCTGCCTTAATCTTCCCTTTATTGTATTTTCTACCATTTCTGTCCTTTATGAGTTAACATGGTATAGAGCAAAGAACCCTGCACTTGGAGGTCTGAAGACCCAAGTCCAAGTCTGGACTCTACCCTCAACATTTCCATGTCCTTGGGAAATCTTGAACCTCTGTATTCACTGTTACAATCTGTTGATATTAAGATGTTATTCAAGATTAGATGAGATGGGAGTCACAGTGTGTCCAGCTAGTGAGTTTCTCATGGCCCTTAGTACAATCTTTAGCTGTCATGCCTCAAAATGGAATCATTTACAAGCAATTCATGCTGAGATAACTGGATACCAGTGTCATGACTTAGAAATGTAGTAGTGATGTAGTTCCTAGGTTAGGAAGCCCCTAACTGATACACAACCTTGTTTTAGAATCCTTTCTGGTTTTGTAACAGAATGTCTGAACAAGAAGTAATTTAGGGGATAAAGTATTTATTTGGTTTACAGTTCCAGGTTACAGTCCATCACTATGGGGTAAATCAGGGCCAGGACCTTGAAGCGGCTGGTCACATTACTTCTACAGTCCAGAGCAGAAAAAAGTGTGTGCATGTTTAGTGCTCAGCTAGGTTTCTTTACTTTTATACAGTCCAGGACCCCAAACCAGGGAATGGTGCTACCCACTTTTCTGGTAGGTCTTCTCATAATAAAGTGGAAGCATCCAAGACAGTTCTGTACAGATATGCACACAGGGTAGTCTGATCTAGATAGTCTCTCGTGGTTTTACACGGTGTCAAGCTGACAGTTAAAATTATCACAACTAATTTTTTCTGTGCCTCTGATATCTCTTTCTGGTCTACCTCTTCATGGGACAATGTACTTGCTTTAACTGTTCTGTTGCTATGAGGCCTTCCTCCTCCTGCTCCTCTATCTCTTTGTCTATCCACTTACTTTGCTTGATTGGGGAGAGCTAGCCTTCTTGGTTGCCATTTGTTCTGAGTTTTGGGAGGGGATGTGAACCCCCAAGCATGTTGACTTCATTTGGCAGTGTGGTGCATTGTCTCCTGCCTCAGGCATAAGGAACATATAAAGGGTATATACCTTGTCAAGTAGTCAAGTAGGTATGCAGTGGGGAATTCATTAAAATTTCTTGATCTTCCAAAACAGCAGAAGATGACAAGACTCTGCAGACCCATAACTATTACTAGATCAAAACCAACCAACCAACCAATCAACTAAAAACATTTGGAACCTTTTATTGGACTTTAAGGCTACAGTAGATCTGAATTTAGTCACTGAAATATCAAAGAGCACTGGAGAAGTTAAGGTTTTGACAGAAGATCCCTTGGTGGAGGGAAGTGTTGAAGAATGAATATACTTCTGGCTCCCTCCCTCTTTCCTACCTCCCTGCTCTTCAGAGTTTGACCTACCAAGTACTTGCCTTCTCCCAGTCATGTGGATGAAGGCAGCTTTATGAAAGCATTTCCAAGGGTTGCTGTCAATGCATATATAATTACAAAGCCAGACCTGACTTCTATACTCTGGTGGTACCACATGACATAGCCAAAGTACCTTAGAAGGTTCTAGTCCCTGTGTGAAATGGAGTTTTATTATTCTACCCACTTAGAAACCTTGTGCTCAGTGTGCATAAACATTCAGAGGAATCTTTGATCATATACAGGGACCACTTGTGCCTCAGAACAGCTATGAAGAAAATTGTAAACATACTCTAGGCATTATGATTGTGCATTATTCTAGAGTGAGCTTTGTTGCTGACAATTTTGTGTTTCAATGGCACAAGGTTAGACCCTCCTGCCTTAGGGGAAAACACCATTTAGGTTTCATCTACTGTGCCAGGTCAATGTGGCATGGTCCTCCATCATTCTGACTAGTCATTAACCCTGGTCTTTAAGGCTCTCTAGTATTTGTAATCAATAGATGCTATAATTCCAGTTCATTAGTAATTCCTTGCTTACCTAATTAATCCAAATTAGTGTGGTTTAATTTGGAGAAAAGCATGCTCCATTCTGGTCCTTGTCGAAATACTATCCCCGGTTTCATTGTTGGTTGTTCTGGGTCAGTATACTTTTGCAGCAGCAGAGACCAGCCAACTCTCCAAGACCCCTTTCCTCCTTCCTACACCCCAGAAAACATGATCGATCTGTGAACTGAGCCAGAGAAAAAAGGGTAATGGATGACTTGGCTGTGAGGTAGAAGGAGATGAAGAACCTACCAAAGCCTTTTAATTTTTTCTTCTCATTTTCTTCTTTTGCATTAGGGATTATTAGCCGAGAGAATGCAGAAGACCTTCTGGAGAATATGACTGAGGGAGCATTTCTGGTTCGTGTCAGTGAAAAGATCTGGGGTTATACCCTGTCCTACCGCCTGCAGAGAGGCTTCAAACACTTCCTTGTAGATGCCTCTGGGGACTTCTACAGCTTTCTCGGAGTGGATCCTAATCGCCATGCCACCCTAACAGATCTCATTGATTTTCACAAGGTAACCCTCTTTGAAGGGTTAGTTGGGCGTGGAATTGGCAGAAACTTTGGTTGAAGAAAGCCTGGAGCAAATGCAGCAGGCATTGGCTCCAAACTAAGACTGTAGAGTCTCAGAACTATGTCATATTCGATTAGAAGAGACCACTGGCTGTTCAGGGAACCTCTGGGGCCCATGGTCTTCTCTCTGCCTCATGCTTTAACTGGCACGGCGTACCTGTAATCCTACTTCCAGGCCTCTCTTCTCTAAGTTATTAGCACAAGGAGATGACAGCTGGCTCTCTGTCCAAGTCCTTCTCTTAGTCTCAGGAATGCCCCTCTGAACCACTCCTATCCAGAGCAGCTTTGAAGCTAGCTGCAGTGCAGGAAGCAGTCATGTGGCCATAGCAACTTAGACACAGTAGAGTTACGAGTGTTCTTGTCTGAACTTGCTTTTATCCTTGGGGCATGTGTGACCTTGGCCATGCCATTTAGTCCTACTGAGAGTCTCAGCAGCCCCTGCATTTGTTGCCATTACAATAGAGCACATCATTTAAATTTATAAGGAACAGAAATTTATAAGGAAATTTATAAGGAAAATTTATAAGGAGCAGAAACCCGTTTTTCAGACCTTTATAGATTGAGAAGTCCAAGATCGAGGGACCGTCACTCAAGGAGGGCTTTCTTCCTACACCATCTCCTCTCAAAATATGGAAGAGCAAAGCAGGGTGAGAGAACAAGAGACTGGGCAAATGCAAGAGGGGACCACATCTGGGTCTGTGGAGATGGCTCAGCGGGTAAAGTGCTTGCTGTATGAGGATGAGGCTTGAGCGTAGATCCCCAACATGTGAATGGAAGCCAGTGATGGCAGCATACACGTGTACCCGAGTGCTGAGTGTGAGGGTTCGATGGTAGAGACAGGCAGATCCTGAGGGCGCATTGACCAGTTAGTGTAGCCAAAATGGCAAGTGTCAGTTCAGTGGAGAGACTCTGTTTCAAAACCTAAGCAGGAGAATGACATCTGTCCTCCACACTTGCCTATGAGCACAGGTAAGCTCACTTCTGTGTACAGATGCATATGGATGCATCTCTCTCTCTCCCTCCCCTTTCTCTTACACACACGCACGCACATGCACACGCACACACATGCATACACACATGGGCCAAAGTCACTTTATAATAAGAAGCCCATTCTTGAGACAATGGCTTTGACTCACTTGTAGAGGCCATAAGGTCCTGCTTACCTCTTCTGGGTCCTATACTTAAAACCATTAAATTGCAATTATGTCTGGAACACATGCTTTTGGGGAACACATTCAAACTATAGCATTGAGCAGATGAATACACACAGTGCTTATTTGAGATCTTGTGGACTTTAAACAATATCCTATACATAATTATATCCTGTGATCCTGTGCCCAGTACTCTGCCCTTTGTCCCATCATTGGCTCACATACTGTCTTGCAAATGTCTCACATATGTCATAGTGAGAAGCAGATTTCATTTTAATGCAGTTGCTGGCAGTTCTTATAACTGCACGAAGACTTGTACCTCAGCAACAAGAAAGGAAGGTCTGAGGGATTTTGGGATAAAGTTATGGGAACTCCAGCTCCAGTATCTAATTGATTCCCACAGGTGTACAAGGTGTCACAGAATTGCTTGCACTAGGCTTTTGCTGTAATAGGGTCTCTTGGATTATGTATTGCTTTCTTTATTTTATCTATCCACGGAAGACCCCAGGCCTTGAGAGATATCTTCTCACCTGGCCTTGTGAATGGAGGACATAGAAAATCACCTGTCTAGCTAGGCATGCTGAGAAACATCTTGTAATCCCAGCACTATGGATACTGAGGCAGGAGACTCACCAGCTCAAGAACAGCTTGGGTGACATGGGTATAAGCAACAACAACAACAGAACCTCCAACCAACCAAAGTAAAAACAGCGGCAGCAATTACAATAATAACACTACTACTACTACTAACACCACCAGTACCACCAGCTCCACCACCACGACCACACCAAAAGCAGAGACAGAGAAAATGAGAGGACAGAACACAGAAGAGAGGATTGTTCATTCACAGATGCCTGGGCTCAGAGTCCTGTTGTGGATCTAGACTAGGTCACGGTGGATTTCTGCTTGTTTTGGGAAGGGCCTTCTGACAGTCAGAGGAAGGAGGAAGAAGAAAAGAGGAAGGAAGGGAGGGAGTGGATTCTGGTAGCATTGTTCTGGGTCAAGCATACATGCCCTCGTAACCGTGGTGACCCCTGTGTTATGGAAGCACATTAACCTTGTTCACAGACCAAGAAACCAAGACCAGGAAGGCCAAGGCACTGGGCCAAGTTCCAATGGCTGATACCAGCTGCAGTCAGGAGTTCAGCCCCCAGCTGCCTTCCTCTCCAGCTTGTCCTTCCTACTGAGCCCCAGTGTTTGTTTTTCTTGTTCAAAATAAGCTACTTCAGCAGCTTTGGCTCCTTGTCTCCAGCAGTGTTTCCATCGAAGGGCCAGTGCTCAGTTTTTAGGGCAGGTTCCACACAGGAAGGCCACACCAGACATCTCTGAAGGACTTTATTCATTCCAGATTTAAATTTTGGAGATCAACAATTTCACTTCAAGCCCTATACAAAGATATCATCTATGCCCACATGGAAGTCTGGTGGTCAGTTTTGATAAATTAAATTTTAATTACACTATTAATGATTATAATTCATGATTATATTAGTCATGTCAGTTTCACTGATTTCAAGCCCTGATTACATCTTCCACCTTGAGTTAGTGGTGTGCCATGTGTTATTTGTCAGGCAGTAATACCAAAACTTATGCTCATAAGAAAATACAGTTTTGTGAATTTTACATCACATGACTCAACAATTTAACCTTCAAGCCATATTTAATTAAAGGCATTTAATTAGAAGGTAGTGTTTAAAGGCATGGTCTCTGATACCAGAATGTCAAGTTTAAATCCTAACTTCATTATTATGTGTGGCTGTGGGTTACTGCTCAGGCTTTTCTGACTCAGTTTCCCTTTCAGTTGGGTAGATCAGTGACATCCTTGTGAGGTTTCAAGGAGGTATCACTGTATAGAGTGCATTTCAAAATCAGCAGTAGGTTCGATCTGTATTAAAATGTGGTTAGGAGGGGTTGGGAACACATATCAGTTATTGGAGCATGTGCTTAGCACAAAGCCCTGGGTTTGAATCCTGGCACCATATAAAGTGGAGAAGTAAGTCTGTAATCTCAGTATTCAAGAAGGGGGAAGTGAGCATCAAATGTTCAAGGTCATCTTTAGTTATAGACTGAGTTTAAGGCCAGCCTGCAATGTGTAAGAACCTGTCTCAACAAATATGCCTGGCAGATCTTTTCACAGTGGTATGTGTACCAAGATTCCCTGGTATGGGTGTAGGGTTCAGGTTAATTACTCATTCTCCTCTTGTGCTCATCTTTCTACGTTCTGTTTTATGACTATGAACAGCATTTCAGAGACTTCTGTACTATGTATATGTTACTTTGTCACTATGCATACATATGTAGTGATTTCCAGGATTCCTTGAACTGAAATTGCCGGAAAGAAAAGTATGCACATTTTAATTGCAGAAGACCTACCAGATTGACTTCCAAAAACATGGAAGAAATTCATGTTCCTGCCAGAATTATTTGAGGCCTGTTCTTCCCTCAGATGGGCAGACACATGGCTCACTATTGTCTACCTTGAATTTTTCTTTAGGCCTCTGCTGCTGAGGTGTCTCTTCATATACTTAATGGCTACTTCCAGTTAGTCACCTGTAAATTGTCTCTTTTTATTCACGGTCCATTTTCTATTTTTAGGTATCTTTTTCTTGATGTTACAATTTCTGTATCTACCAAATTGCTCTTTAGTTATGTCTATTCTGCTGAAAATATTTTTAATTTGAACAGTCATATTTTTTCAATTGTATGCTCATTTTTTCTTATAACAGCCTTCTCTTGTTTCATGGATGACTTACCCTGTTGAGAAAGATAATGTAAATCTCTTAAAGCTTCTTTTTATTTCCTTTATAAGTTTGGTATTTTCTTAGAAATCTGTTGGACTACTGAGTTTTGAATCTGTTATAGTTGAGGTGGTCCTTAAATACCTCAATAATAAGACACGTTTTCCCACATTTTCTTAGTTAGGGTTTTTACTACTGTGACAGACACCATGACCAAAGTAAGTCTTACAAAGGACAACATTTAATTGGGGCTGGCTTATAGGTTCAGAGGTTCAGTCCATTATCATCAAGGTGGGAGCAGGGCAGCATCTAAGCAGGCATGGTACACGCAGAGCTGAGAGTTCTACATCTTCATCTGAAGGGTGCTAGTGGAAGACTGACTTCCAGCAGCTAGTATGAGGGTCTTAAAGGCCACACCACAAGGATACACCTACTCCAACAAGGCCACACCTCCAAATATTGCCACTCCCTGGGAGAAGTGTATTCAAACTGTGACAAACTTTCAATCTCAAGTTTATTCATGCGTAAACAATTTATGTTTCCCAAATCTGATGTCTTCTGATGTAGTTTTGGGGCCAATAACGAGTAGCTCTCTGAGGGGAATGGCAGTGTCTATGCTTTCAGTCGTCTTAGTTTCATCAGCAACAAGGATAAACATTTACTTGAAGTTGTGTCCCTAAGGTTTCCCCAGCTTGCATTTCTTAGACGATCTATTTGTTTTTCAACAATATTTTCACATATTACGTGGTTGTCTTCCTTCTTATTTTCTCATACTATACAGATATATTTCTTTTTAAAGGAAGGTTTTCCCTTTTGTTTCTAGAAAGTTGAGTGAGGGGAGGTAGATGTATAGCCTTAGTCTTTGTGTCTCTAACCATTATCTACCTGACTCCCCATGAATGTTCATATCTCTTCTTGATCTGAATTGTATTTCTTTTCTTCTCTTTTCCCTTTAGGAGGAAATCATCACCGTTTCAGGGGGAGAGTTGCTACAGGAACCCTGTGGACAGAGGGATAGCCCACCAGACTATCACCTGCTGTTTGAATGATTTTTTTCCTTCTCTTGGACTCCTTTGAGTATCCCGATTTTGACCTGAGCTTAAGAATGTCCCAACTCAAAGCCTCATGGCATTCTGGAAGATCCACTGTTCTTCAGATGAATAATTGTGTTAGTGAGCCTCCAGACTGTGACCTACAAAATGTGACTGCATTTGTGAGACTATTCCCATTCCAAAGCTCAAGACAGAAACCCCAAATAATGATGCTCCTGGAGGCCTGTCTGTCATGACTGTGCTAAGCTGAACTCCTAGAGTGAATGGATCATGTTTTAGTAACCCAAAGCAATTCCAGTGCCGAACCTTTCACTTAATATAGGGTCAACACTCAATAGGTATTTGTTGAGAGAATGCCCTCCTGAAAAACTCCCAACATCGATCATTTTTAGCAAATTCTTTTCTATACCACTTCATAAAGTCACAGAGATAACAGAAGCAGGCTTGTGACTAACTAACATGGAAGACACACATGTTGCATCTTTTCTAGTGTTTATGGACTTGTTTATTTATTTTTATTTTTATTTTTTATTTTTTTTATTTTTTATTTTTTTGTTTTTGTTTTTCGAGACAGGGTTTCTCGGTGTAGCCTTGGCTGTCCTGGAACTCACTCTGTAGACCAGGCTGGCCTCAAACTCAGAAATACGCCTGTCTCTGCCTCCCAAGTGCTGGGATTAAAGGCGTGCGCCACCACTGCCCGGCTCTGGACTTGTTGATATCATCATGAGTATTACCCATGGTTGCTATGCTTAGCTTTCAGAACAGGAGATTAATGTTGTGCTGGATTCTTTGTTTAACTACTTCTGCCTCTCCTATCTCATCTAACATGTGGCTTTGGTTTTGCAAATTGAGGTAATGATGTCATGTGAATGTACAGAATATCTGCAACGAATTATAAATCCAAGGGTGGGGTTTAGATACTTGGTGAGGGAGGTCTTTGCTGTCTAGAATGTTCTTTGTGTGCTCTCTACTTAAAGGCTTAGCTATGTTTTCATTTTAATTCCTCCATCTCCTTAATCTGTTCTTCATATTAATGAGAATAACCTCCCAATACCTCAGTAACTCTCAAGGATGGAGTCTTGCTGCAAAGAGACACTATGAATACAGCAACTCTTACAAAGTAAAACATTTAATTGGGGCTGGCTCATGGTTTCAGAGATTCAGTCAGTTGTAATTATGATGGAAAGCATGGCAGCTTGCAAACACACATGGTTCAGGAGAAGGAGATGAGAGTTCTACATCTTGATCTGAAGACAACTGGGGGAGAGACTGTATTCTAGGCAGCTAGGAGGAAGGTCTCAGTGCCTAACTCTACAGCGAGCACTTCCTTTAACAAGGCCACACATATTCTAATATCTCCTAGGCCATATTTCCTAATAATGGACCAAGCATATTCAGACCATCACAGTGTCTAATTTAAGCATAATCATGTTTTTCCCTTATGATGATAGACAAGGAGATAGCAGATGTCACAGGAAGATTGCAGGTTCTGAAATCTGGAAGGCTTCAGTTCCAATCCACACTCTGAAACTTTGTGATATTATAATCCTTGCTGCAATGGGTTTGGCATATATAAAAGAATAGATGAACTCTGGAAACACCAGGAAACCATTTTATCTGCCTTGAGAATTGTGTCCTAAAGAGAATAAGGTATCTTTGTTCTCGACTCAACCTCTTGGCTCTTCTGTTTCTTGCATCCCTGACCACTTTTGCCATCAACCACCCTCATGACTATTGTTATAGCCAGTTTTGTGTGAGTGACTCTGCTTTTGTTCATTCACCATGTTCTTCAGCCTCATGTGGACATATGCCAATGGTGCTTTGCCACACATGGTTCTTTGTGGGGGATTTATTTATTATCTTTTAAACTTTTTTTCTATATTCTTGAGAATTTCATATATCTATACAATGAAAAATGATAATATTTACTGTTCCCTTTCCCCATCCTATTCCCCAGATCTGCCCCAGAATACTCATGTATTCATAAAAAATAACTCATAGGTACAATTAATGCTGTCATGTGAGCATGAGTGTGACCTTTCACTGAATCATAGAAATCTAACTAGGGCCCACATCTCCAAAGGAGAGTGACTCTGTCTTCCCCAGAAACTACCAACTACCAGTAGCTCTTCAGTAAGGTGTAGGACCAGGAAGCATCTTTTATGGTAAGTTTCTTCTGTTAGGGTCTCAACAAGACTTTCATGTAGCATCTGGCATGCTCTTAAGTCTCTGATAACACCCTTCCTCCTTTACTTGACCCCTGACTGGTTGTATAAATTAGAGTTCTGTAAAATGATCTGTGTCCTGGACTTGTCTTATTGTTTCCTGTTGTTATTTCTGTATTGGCTGTATTTCATATTTCCTGGCTTGATTGAGATTGAATTTGGGGGCAAGAAAACATTCTTGGTACATTGTATCACAGGGATCCTTATGACACATTGGCCTAAATTTTCTAGACTTGTCAGTGGGCTCAGAATATCTCAACCTGAGTACTCCACTTGTCCTTTTTCACCCTTGTCTTTTGTTCTTTTTTTTTTTTTTTGAGATAGGGTCTCATAATGCAGGTAACCTTAAACTCACTATGTTGAACTTCTGATCTTTCTGTCTCCACTTCCCATGATCTGGGATTATACGTGAGTACCACTATGCCTGGATCCCTTTTGGTCCCTCATCCCCCTTTGAGAAAAAAAGAAGGTTACCATATATTTATCTCCTGTTGCTACAGTGAAACCTAGGTCAATGGGATGCTCAGGTTGGTCAATCACTTTTTCCTTCATCCTCCTGGATGAAAGATAGCTCTTGATGTGAACTCTTAGAAGACAGTCATGCACGATGGCATAGCCAGATCCACCAATACCCCTGTTACCACTCATTCTCTGTGTTTTCATCTCTGGAAAGTTCTTCTGGAATGCTACCAGAGCTTAGTAGCTGTCTTATTTAGTCTTTACCTTTTGGGAGCTCAAGGTAAGTGCCTTTTATACAAATATGTATTCTGACCTTTTGTAACTTGAGTCAGGGTCTTCCCATGTAGCTCAGGCTGTCTTGGAAATCATTATGTGTCTCAGGTCTAGTTCTGAATTCATGATCTCCTTGTGTTAGTTTCTTGAGTGCTGGAATGGCAGGTTTGTGTCATCACCACTGGCTCCAATGTGTTAGATAACAACAGTTTTATGTACCAGCTCCGTAACTTCCCTCTGTCAGTCAGCATCACTGCATGGGTAAAATGATGTGATGATGGAGGGATCCTGCTTTCTGAACTCTGTGAACTCTCAAACCATAGCCACATTCCGTTCTAATTACATCAATTCTACCAGGGCTCAGAAGACCCACTCTTTCTTGTTCTGATTTTGCTCTGTATCAGCCATGTGAATTTGTTCAGGCCACTCAATCTCACTAATCCTCTGTGTAACCTGGAATAGGATTTTTTAAAATGTGGTCATCATTAGCTTCTTCTGGCTGATCGATTAAGTGACTAATAGGGAATCTCAGTCCAAATGAAAGACCTTGCTATCCAAAGCCACACAGTGGCAGCTTCCTGCCAAGCAGTTCTGTGTCAGGAGATTCTACAAGATGATTTCCCACACACTGGAAGAAAGTTCCAAACAGCAGCTTCTAAAGGAGTCAGGATGGGTTGAAAAACCTGACATCCTGGATGCTGGTTCCTGTTGCCTGCTAATTAATATGCGAGAGATTACAGCTGAGTTTCCCATCCCTAACCCATTTATTTCATTTTATTTGGGGCCTGCACTTTCAGTACGTCTCATATATTTTAGGTTTTACCTGGCTTTCAAATAAATTCCTTGTAAGTTGTCCTGCAAATGAAATTACTGTCTGGAAAACTGCAATTTCATCTTGAGAGTTTTATTATGCTAATAAATGTCAGAATTCTCAAATAAAGGAATGGCCTCCTTTTTCCCCCATCCAAGCCTTACAAATATAATGAAAAACAGTCCGTCAGCTTCAAGACTCAGCAGCAGGAAAATTTACAATCTATAACTAGAAAGAGAAGCTGTAAAAAACAATATACATCTTAATGGAAGATAAATTTCAGGGAATTAAAGGGCAAATTGGGGTACAGATTCTTGGAGATTCCTGCATGGCAGGTATTCTTAGGGACCATTTAAGGGTTCATGAGCTAAAAGGAGGCTAGGGAGAGAGTGATTCTTTAGAAAGATATGTGACAGTGATGGCCTGGGGTCTTGGGGACTTTCAAGCTATGGTCACTTAGACCTGTTGCTTTGCACCTGGGATGGCACAGTAGTGAGTGGAAAAAAAAAAGTGGCAGAGGCTTACTTAGCTAACTCAGGACAGTTAGGAAACAGAGAGTAAAGAGTTACCAGGAAACCCAATAATTCCCTCATACCTATCCTCCTTCTACTAGGTTCTTTCTCTTAAAGGATTTGCCCTTTTCCAGTAGTGTGCATGCTAGGGACCAAGTCTTTAATATGTAGGCCTCTGGGGGCAATTTTCAAACCACAGTGCTTTGAAAGGAATCTAATGCTACAATTTATGCTTCAAAGGAACCTAAGTGAATGCATACATTTTTGTAATAGTGTCTCCATCTGAATGTTGGGTTGTAGCTCAGGTCTAGTATTCACAAAGGGGATCATTTTTTCTTGTCCAAGGATTCTAATCAAATGTAAGCAAGCAGTACCTCGGCTGTATAGACACTCTACTTAGTTATGGAATTACTTAGGGCACAGGTAACTGTGCTTTATGCATTTTGTCCTCCAGTCTGTGAGGTCCTGGGGGTCAGGAAATGTCCTGTGTGTATGTGTATTTTAGGGTACCTAGAACAATCAGTTATACAGCTATACAGATTTCAAAGACCTACTTTAAGCTTAAGGGACCCCTATGATGTAAAACCCCAGGTTGGGAATGTTTGCTGCCTTGGGTTAAAAAAGCCAAAGTAATTGCTTTATGCTTGTAGGACAAACACAATAAGCAAGCAAACAGGTGAGATGGGAGTCAAAGGTAGCTTTGTTAACAAGTCAAGA